GCACTGTGGTGATCCTGTTAAAATGGAAGTCATGTCAAATTGCTTCTCAGCTCAAAACCCACCACTGGCTTTCCGTCTCAGGCAGAGAAGAAACAAAGTCCTTACAGTGACCCACAACATGTGTTTTCCCCAGCTCTCACTACCCATAAATTTTCTCTGACTTTGTCTTAAACTTTCATGCCCCCTCACTCCCCTCTGTGTTCCTCACACATCAGATACGACCCCACTTCAAGAAAGCTGAACCTGGTGCTCGCTCTACAGGGAATGCTCTACCCGGATCTCCTCCTCCCGGTTAGCTCCTTCCCTTTCTTTACTCTTTACTTCTTTACTCAAATACTTCTTTCTCTGAGAGGCCTTTGTTGGCCTCTCTCATTTAAAATTTCACCCCACTATGGCCGCCCCAGGCACATCTTCTTTCCTTACTCTGCTTTATTTTTCCTCCTTTGCCCTTAGCAGCTCTAATATCCCATACACAGTACCTACTTATCACATTTATTCTGTCTCTTTCAGTAGACCAAAAGCTACATAGATTTGCATCTGTTTTGCTCACTACTATATTCCCTACCTAGCACCTAGCACAGTGCCTGGCACATAGTACTGTTGAATGAATCAATGAGTGAATGGGGGACGTGTTGTTTTTAGTATCTTTGTTCATTTGTTTTCATGAATAAGAAAATCCTTTAATTAGCATGTCAAGTCTTGTGTGCAAATGTGGCTTCTAAAATGTATCTTAAATGTAGTTGACACTGATCTTGCTTACCCCGTGAACTGTCTCAAAAACAGTTTCTACATAATTTGCAAAGTACACATTTTATCTCGGTTCCTGTACAACTCAACACATATTCTTAATTAGTGAGATAATTGGGAGCTTTTACAAAAGTGATAAGTTACCTCAATGCAAATTAACTAATGAGCTTCATTCTTTCAAGCAGAGTGGTATCTTGGGAGGTGTACTGATAAAAAAACATGGATACCTGACTGCTTTGTTAAACAGCCCACACGAAAGGCATGGTGCTAAACTAGGTTCTTACTCAGAGTGAGATCCAAGCCCTTACCATACATGACAAAGCTATTGTCATATTCTTCTAAGTGGTCTCCTGGTCACCATCTCTTCCTTTCTATATGCACAGTGTACCTGTCTCTAGATCAATATTAACAATGCAGACCTCTGGTTATATCCATCACTCTGCTCAGAAGTCTTCACGGGTCCCCCTTTCCTATTAAATAAAATCCAATCTCATAAAATGGACATGGAAAACCTCTACAGTCTAGTTGCAATCTGCTTTTCCTACATTATTTTCTCATATTTTTCTACCCTGGTCTCTAATTCGATTGTTCTGCCTTCTACCCCTTGTTATATTTTCCACCTCCCTACCTTTCCTCAGAACATTCTGGAAGCCGGAAGTTTTATTTAGAATTCATTTCTAGGCTAGAGCAGTAGTGTGATCAACACAGAGTGTGGTGATATTATTGGTCCCTGTGACTCAGGCTCTAAATTTCTGTTGAAAGAATTTAAGATCACATTTCTCTTTTTTAAAACCCACATTGCTATATGGGCTTACACTGAGCTGATATTCAGCTAAATACTCCAGGACTTATATATGTGACCTTCCATCAAACTGAGTTTCACACATTCTTGGTGTGGTTTGTGTGCTAAATGCAACGCTATACATTTGGTGCCTTAAAATCACTACTTTTCTTTTTGAAGAATATATATCTCCTGCCTCTGCCATCTTTTCTCCACTTACACTGCTATTACCTTAGCTTTTGCCACCTTAAGCCCCTTATGAAGCTAGCAGAGAGAGAAGCAAGAAAAAGAGGGAAGGAGCATTATTCCCACATAATGAAAGTGTGCTCAGCCCCCTCCTTCTTACAGATCATTGCCTATATAGCTGGCTGGGAAAAAAAAAAAAAAAAAAAAAAACTTTTTAAAATCAAATCTGATGGTCATGCCCTTCCCCAGATAAAATCTCTGCAATGGCTCCCCATTACCTTCATCATAACCTCAGACCTTTTGAAATTCATTTCCCACCTTCATCTCCAGCCTTATTTCACACCACTTATCATCACACAGCTTGCACTCTGTGGCTTTTGCACACACATCTCCCTGAGTGAATAGCATCAGTCCCCAGCTTCTCTTCCTGGCTAACTATTCATTCTTACAGACTCAACTCTGGCACCTCCTCCTCTAAGATTTCCTATCATCTCTACAGTAGAATGTGCAAGTGCCTTTGCTCTCTGTTCCAATGGCACCCAGATTTACCTCTAACATGACACTCATTATACTGGTTGAGCATTGCCTGTTTGCTTTTCTTTCTCCCCATCGGTAGACTTTAAGGTCCTTGAGAATGAGTGTGCCTTTCATCTCTGTAACTCTAATGTTAAGAACAGTGCTTTTATCAGTTTCTCTTGCCAATAAAGTTATTCCCGATTTTTCTTTTTCTTGTTCGTCCAAGAAGAATATAGGGCAGAATAAAAAGGAACATGATAGAAACTGATTTAAGCAAGAGTAAGATTTCACCCTTTTAATTTTTTTATAGTATAGGGAGGCACTGAAACTTTGCTACACACTCTTATTACATTACAAAGAATACATAGTGAGGGTGACTATAACTAAAAGCTATCAGTGAAATTATTTTAATTTGCCTTCTCCATTAAACGGAAATAAAATAGACAGATGATCTGTAAATGGGGATTCTCTGAGACCCAATTTCTTGGTGTCAATTGCATAATGAAGCAGGCACTGGGTTTTCTGGCCTGGGAAAATTGAAGACATTTAGATGCAGATTGATTAGTCTTTCTGTGAGAAATGAATGCCTCGGAGACAACTGAGCATTGCCCTTCAGTTACGGCCATATTGAATATGACTTCACATATTGATGAAACATACTTTTTACTGGAATGAGAGAGTTACATAATCTCTGAAAGATTTCTTTTCGGAGATGATTTAAGTAAGTATTTTTTCAGTGGCAGTCCTTCAAGGGTCCATCCAGCTAAAAATCTATACTCATTAAGCCCCAGATATTCTTAAAATAGTAAAGGGCGTCTCCTACAACTCCAGATTTACTTTCCTGATCAACAAATTGACCAGATGAAATTAACCTATTTACTACAAACCATTTTGTTCCCTAGGCTGTCAGCGTGTATGTGTGTGTGTGTGTGTGTGTGTGTGTGTGTGTGTGTGAACACAGCTAATAGTAGATTGCTCATTAAAAACACAATTGTAGTCACCCTTTATAGTACCTAGGTAATTATCGATTGATTGATTTGTATATTTTAATGATTTGGTTCCTACTTGTCTAAAGAAACATAAAACTATGTTAAAATCTAAGATAACTGAGACTTCATTACTTGTTGCAAAATAGAATTTATTCTAACTGGTAGAGTCCCACCGGGGAGTGCTAACATGAATAATTAACCATTACATGCAGTCTACCAAAATGAGCAGTTTCATTGCATTTAGTGATAGTAGCAATCTTCAAATGTGATTTACATTTATATCTCTAGTGAAAATTAGTACATTCTTCACACTTTCTGATTTTTCTATGCCCCTTCTGTGGCAGCATAACTTCTTAATACTTGTGTATGCATTTGTCAATTACTGAGTAATGCTGGTGGCAGGTAATGGATGAATGTGTTTTGCCAAGAACCTAGACTTGTATCCGCTGATTCCTCAAAAAAACCTCTATGTTATATTCCACGTTTCATTGTAATTCCTTTTAGTTTAACATAGGTCTTGGGTAACCTCTATGAGTTTCTCATAATGCAGTACTTTGTGTCTCCAACAAGAGAAATCCTATTAGATGATAGGGAAAAGTGACCTGGGGACAGCCTTGATCGAAACAACTTGAATGACATTAAATAATAGCTACCATATCCAAAACATTCGCCCTGTGTAAAAAGGTGTGGTATATATTTTACATGCATTATTTCCAACTCTTGTAGTGGAGGAAGTACTATTTTCCCCATTTTGCTGAAGACAAAACTGAATCTTAAGAGTTTAGTAAATTGGTCTCCAAGGACGATGCTAGAAGGTGGCTGGACCAAAATTCAAACAGAGATTATGTGTCTGACGTTAAAGTCTAGGCTTTTCTTCTGTCACAGGCCATAATTAAGAGTACAAAAGTGCCCAAGCTTGTATGTTACCTTGTAGTGCCTTATCTTCCCAGACTCTGACCAAGCATTTTCCTGTCTTGCCCATATCAGAACGTACTTGACAGTGTCTGGTTTCAGGGTTAGGAATCAGGATATCATTCACTTGGTAATTTTCCTTTCTTTGACTTGGGCAGAGAAGCTCTCTCCAGAGCCAGAGCCAGTTGTTTTTCTCTAATGATTTAGAGGGAGGGCAGCCTGAGGCTATCCTGAGATCTGCAAGTCTATTTATCATCTTTCACTTTGTTCCATGGATGATATCCAACCTGCCTGCTGCTTTGACTGGCCTCATGGGGACAAATGTGTTCCACTCTGAAAAGAGAAGTATTGAAAGTAAAATTTGGCTGTTTTCTGGAATTACGGATGCAATTTTTAAGTAATTATAAAAGTATAAGCATACTTATTAAAACTCATTCCCTGCCCCAAAAAGAAATTTGGTGAGCTGATTTCATTGCAACAGAATATAGTGAAGAGTAGAAATGATACATGTTAAAGATGCTGAGAACCTCCATAGCTTAGAAAGTTGTAAGAATATAGAATAAACAGTTAACAATGGGAAACAATTAACACATCCCTTAACTGAGAAGAAAAGGTATCTGGAGTAAAACCAAGAGCCAAGCACCTAACCCAGATGTTAGAACCTGAGGGTGAGATCTCATTTGCTCAGTGAAATAGGACTCTTTTCTTAGAAGGAGTCCAATTTATTAATTCCAGAAGAAGTTACAGGCAATGCCTTTAAAAAATTTAGAGTTTCTTTTTATTAAGATAGGGAAGCAAAGATGAGCACTGTTTCCTGTCTTTGGCCTCACCTCTCTTCCTTACTTTTTGCCTTTGCTCCTCTTTGCCAGGTTTCTAGCTAACACCACTTTCAGAGGCCTCAGTGGTTCCATCAGAGTAAAAGGTTCCACTATCATCAGCTCAGAAAACAACTTTTTCATCTGGAATCTGCAACATGACCCCATGGGAAAGCCAATGTGGACCCGCCTGGGCAGATGGCAAGGGGGGAAGATTGTCATGGACTACGGAATATGGCCAGAGCAGGCCCAGAGGCACAAAACCCACTTCCAACATCCAAGTAAACTACACCTGAGAGTGGTTACCCTGATCGAGCATCCGTTTGTCTTCACGCGGGAGGTAGATGATGAAGGCTTGTGTCCTGCTGGCCAACTCTGTCTAAACCCCTTGACTAATGACTCTTCTGTATTGGACGGCCTTTTTAGCAGCCTCCATAGCAGTAATGATACAGTGCCCATCAAATTCAAGAAGTGCTGCTATGGATATTGCATTGATCTGCTGGAAAAGCTAGCGGAAGACATGAACTTTGACTTTGACCTCTATATTGTTGGGGATGGCAAGTATGGAGCCTGGAAAAATGGGCACTGGACTGGGCTGGTGGGTGATCTTCTGAGTGGGTCAGCCCACCTGGCAGTCACTTCCTTCAGCATCAATACTGCACGAAGCCAGGTGATCGATTTTACCAGCCCTTTCTTTTCCACCAGCTTGGGCATCTTAGTGAGGACCCGAGACACAGCGGCTCCCATTGGAGCCTTCATGTGGCCACTCCACTGGACAATGTGGCTGGGGATTTTTGTGGCTCTGCACATCACTGCCATCTTCCTCACTCTGTATGAATGGAAGAGCCCCTTTGGCATGACTCCCAAGGGGCGAAATAGAAGTAAAGTCTTCTCCTTCTCTTCAGCCTTGAATGTCTGTTATGCCCTCTTGTTTGGTAGAACAGCAGCCATCAAACCCCCCAAATGCTGGACTGGCAGGTTTCTAATGAACCTTTGGGCCATTTTCTGTATGTTTTGCCTCTCTACATACACGGCGAACTTGGCTGCTGTCATGGTAGGCGAGAAGATCTATGAAGAGCTTTCTGGAATACATGATCCTAAGGTAATACTCCTTTTTACTCTAGTTTTCTTTATCACCCATTATAACTCCATATATTGTGTCTTAAGCTGTGGTATGTCTGTGTTCTTTCATCTAACACAAGAATATTCTCTCAGCCATCTGTAGAGACTAAGAACTAAATTAAATATTTTATTGTTTTATTGAATGAGACAAAAAAAGTGAGAGGGTTCTGGGGTGTTTGTGCTAGAGAAGGTCTTTTTGTAAGGGCGTCTATTAGTAAGTTTCTCTTGTGTTATTTGTGCATCTGACAGAATGTCCATCAAAGAATAGACTTACAAAGTATTTTTACCCAACGCAGACTGCAAAAACTGATTTATTACTTCTCTTGGGAATTAACGAAAATAAATAGTAGGATCTGTGTTTTAAATTGTAAAGAAGAGTTAGAATTAAAGAGAGTTAAAATTAAAGAACTAACATTTAGTCAGACACGACAGAACTCAATGGGCATAGAATAAGGAGTACTAAACTAACTGAGGTGGCAAGATTAGTTATGAACAGGGTGTCTTTACACAATACGGAAAGCTGTACAGCTGGCCAACTTGGCTGAGGGGATGATGCCAACAGTCACATTATAATGTCCAAGGACATTCAAAGAAGTATATCTATTCTAGGCTGCCTTTGATATCCTAGATATCTACCTGACCCTAAGAGTTGAAGGGAGGAGATGGATGGAGTTCAGGCAAATAGGTAAAGCAGTGGTGATACTCAAGGAGAGCCATATTTGTGTTCTCTCTGGATTTAAACAGGACCCCTTCCAGTGACTAGGAGTATGGAGAACCTAGTCCAACCTGACTTGTAGTGAGGAGGTGGTTGTCAGGGTTCAAGGGAATTGGAGTAAGACCCAAGGGAGCACTACAGTCCTGACAGGGAACAGAATTCAGATCCAGGACAAGAGTGTTCCAATGTGCACGACCCACCTAGGAGAGATTAGAGAAAGTTGTAATTCAGTGGGCGTTCCTGGGATGCACTGTGTTTAAAACAACTTGAGCTCAGCTGAGCATTTCAAATTGGGAAATACTGATGCCTTTTCAAATACTCCTTTCACACCAAGTCTCAAGGTATTGAACCTTTACTATAAATTTATATTAAACATTTATTTTTTTAGTTTTTTTAGTGTTTTATTTATTTTTGAGGGAGAGTTGGAGTGTGAGTGGGGCAGGGGCAGAGAGAGATGGAGACACAGAATCCAAAGCAGGCTATGGGCAGGGAGAAGGGCACTTGTTGGGATGAGCGCTAGGTGTTGTAGGGAAACCAATCTGACAATAAATTATATTTAAAAAACAAAAAATAAAATCAGAGAGAAATTAAAAAAACAAAGCAGGCTCCAGGATAAGCTGTCAGCACAGAGCCCAACGCAGGGCTCGAACTCATGAACCGTGAGATCATGACCTGAGCCAAATCAGATGCTTAAGCGACTGAGCCACCCAGGCGCCCTTCCATTAAACATTTAAAATTAATTTCATAGATCACCAGCATATAAGACATTTGTAACTGTCTTTATCAAATGATGGAGTGGCCCAGAGGGCTGGTGGCAGCTTTAGAGAATTCTCATAAATGGTTTGTACTAAGATATACGATCTGTTCTGCAAACAAATGTACATGAGAAACTTGACCCATACACTGCAAACCTCCTGGTAAGTGACATGAACCTCATGAGAAGGTTCAACAAACAATGGCTTACTGATTAGGCAAGGAACTGCATTGCCTTTTAATTCACAGTCAGGGTTTTAGGTTAGGAGCTGGAATTTAGTGAACACCAATAAGTCTGTAGCATAAGTAAATGTGTCACCCTTAAGAGAGATTTTCATGATGCTTCAGCATTTGTGCTTTGCAGTGGTATTAGCAGCCTCTGTTTATTCTTTGCCTGACTAGACCTGTAGACCTCCCAAAGATTCATTGTCTTGTTAGAGGCTTAGCTAGATTTTTTACATGAATCTTGCCAATACGATGCTTAAATTACAAACTCAGAGTGGGAACCATTCAATGCAATCTAGTACAAAAAACAAACTAATATATGGCTGTCGTGAAGATTCCAGACCATTATCTAACGTAAAAAGGTGAATACAATACTGACTAAAGTTTCATTAATCAAAACCAAGGATTATCAGAATGAAGTCACGGATCCTGTGTGCGAGAAGCCTGAAGCAATGATTATTTTAGGGGATTAAATAAAAAAACATGAAGATAAACTGTACACAGCAGTAAAACAATTTCTTTAAGCAAAAAGAGACACTCATTCCATCCCCAACTCCACCAGAATAAAAGGTGAAGTTTTTATAAATCTAACCCCACCCCCAAGACAAAGTGAGCAGAACTAGACAAAGCCGACTATGTGTTATAGCTAGTAAGTTCTTAATGCAGTGGGACAAGCCTAAATCTAAAATGCTTTCAATTTGAGATAATAAATGAATTTCCACTAAAGTTCCCCCCAGTAATATGTGTTTCTTCCCTAGTGTTGTTTCTATGTTGCAAAGTCTCTCATTTATAGGTTTTGGTCACATAAAGATACCCAGGTTATTTGACTAAGAAGTACTTGACATTCTGGACTTTGGGCGAATGACATTAATGACAGAATTGTTCAGTTTTCATCCAGATATGTGGTATTATGCAAATGATAGAATGTCTTCACCCTCCCACAGAGAGATATGATTAAAATCATTTTCATGCCCTTTCAGTCATCAGTATTCATTCTTAAGTGTATTGCAGTTACTCACGGGCACTTTTCGTCCTACTGATGCTAAGCTCTTTAGGGGACTTATCTTTTTCTTGTACTAAATGATGTCAAGAAATTCAGAAGTAAATAAGACCCGTATAGGAGAAAACAACTTAGAAAGTTGTAAACATGCTGAAGTTTAAAAACATGAAGTACTGTCAAAGTTCAAGGAAAGGGTGATCACCTTCCACTTTAGTATACCAAAGGAAAGCTTAATTAACAAGATAAAAATGTGTGCTTATTCTTGAAAAACACTTGGAAGTTGGACAGGTATGTGTGTCAAGGACATAGGAATGGTCATTCCAAGCAAAGCAACAGAATGAACTACTTTGAGGTGGAAAGTACAAGGCACAATCAGGATATATTGAGGAGTTCAATTTAGCCGTAGCATATGTTCCACGAAACGAAGGAGGTGAAGTCCTTGTCTAAAAGTTAAGTTCGGTGGCGCCTGAGTGGCTCAGTCAGTTGAGCGTCCAACTTCGGCTCAGGTAGTGATCTCACGGTTTATGAGTTCAAGCCCTGCATGCATCGGATTCATTGCTGTCAGTGTGGAGCCCACTTCGGATCCTCTGCCCCCATCTCTTTCTGCCCCTCCCCCCTCAGAATAAAATAAACATTAAAAAATAATAATAAAATAATAAAAATTAAGTTCACTTGAGATAACAGAAGATCTCTGACATCAAGCTAAGACAGGTGAACTTCACCTGACAGTAGAGATCTACTGACATTTAAAAAAAATTTTTTTTTAATGTTTATTTATATTTGAGAGAGAGAGACAGTGAGCAAGCAGGGGAGGGGCAGAGAAAGAGAGACATAATCTGAAGCAGATCTCAGAGCCCAACGCAGGGCTCTAACTCCCAAGCTGTGAGATCATGACCTGAGCCAAAGTCGGACGCTCAACCAACGAGCCACCCAGGCTCCCCATTCACTGACGTTCTTGAACAATAGAATAGCAGAGTGGAACAGTATCCATTTAGGAGGATGGTTGCTCTGGCAGCAGCGTGTAAATAAGATTAGAAGAGAAAGACAATGAATAGAGTTGAAGTTGTAGCTATAGTCACTGATAGAAGACAGATGCAAGAAATATGGTGGTGATCAAGTCACTAGGACTTGACAGTTAACTGACTGTGAGAGGCAACAGAGTCTCCTTCAAAGTTGCAGGTCTGAGTGTCTGACATGGCAGTACCATTCAAGGAAGCAGAAAAGGCAAGTCGTGGACTAGAAAATATAGTGATCAGTTCAGTTTCATACATGGCATTTTAAAATCTGTTTTGGACATTCAGGCAACATGCAGCAGGCATTTGGAAGCCCGAGTTCAGGAGTGAGATTGAAAGCTGGTGGGACTCCTGGCCAGAAGGTGATCCTGTGTATTAAAGCCGTAAGAGAGTATGAGATTCCCAAGGGGGAAGGTGGTAGGGAGAAAAATTGCTATTTGGAGGAAAGCAACAGGCACAAAGGAGTCCCAAGCTGTTGGAGAAGAGGATTTGAGGAGAGACAAGGTAGAAAATAAGGAGATAAGGTGCCCTGTAATGAAGTCACACAGACCCCTCTTTCTGTAGCTTGAATTTTTACTTTTTTGAGGTGAAGATTGTTATTATCCTACCTGCCATGTCTAGCTTCTTGCTAGTGTTATCAGAGAGGACAAGGGCTGACCAGCGCCCAGTCCAAACCGTGAGAATTATTAGTGTGTGTGTGGGTGTGTTTTATGTCTGATGAAACTGGGTTTATATGGTTTGCTTTTTCCTAGTATTTTTCCAGACTCCATTTTCACTTTTCCAATACACTTGGTGGCATTTTAGTTCAGATAAGTGAAAACATGTCATCTACATAAAAGTCACATAGAAGTGACTTTTAGTTCGATAAGTGAAAACATGTCATCTACATAAAAGTCACAAAGAAGTGACTTTTAGTTCAGATAAGTGAAAACATGTCATTTACGAAGAAGTCTGTAGTTTTCTTGGGACATTTGTGTGTCTGCTGGATGGTGTATTGGTCATCCTCTGAAGATTCTTCCACCCCCAACTCACTATCTTATTTCTTTTCATCTCCCTTTGTGCTCCTCATTTGCTAGATGTTAGGACAGCCCACATTATACCTTGCTGCCATTTTCATCCTGGTTGCAATCTTCTGGCTCAGTTAATTCACCTCAGACAGATTTCAGTGTGCCTCCACATGAATGCTCTTTTCCTTCTCCGACTCTTCTTTAGTTACCTCAGGATAATCTCCCCATGCCTCCCTGTTATAGTTGTGTGCCTGAACACTTTGAGAA